GCGGAGGGAGGGGGGAGGAGGTGGGGGGGGGGGGGGGGGGGGGGGGGGGGGGGGGGGGGGGGGGGAAGGGCAGGATAGCAGATGAGGAAATAGTTCAGCAGATTGTCGCTTTGGCACGACGACTAAAAGGCTCGGTGGCTTCGAGGGGTGGAATGCAGGACTTGCGAATTTGACCGGTCAGGTGAGCCATCTGCACCAGCAGCCTGCCGAAAAGCCGGGTGATGGTCGTAAGCGTCGTCGTAGCCATCCTGCGAGGTGGCCGAAGCAAAAGTCTCTGCAGTCTGTGGGGGACTTCGCGAAGCGTTGTATCGAACAGCGGGCGGACGCGCGGCTCCGGATCGGGATCTCCTGTGCACGTTGGAAATACCCGAACCGATCGCCGTCCCCGTGCCTATGCCGCCGGCATTGTCCTGCTCATCGGTCTGATCCGAATGCTCGGGGTTCAGCTCAGCTGTGGAATTGTCGAAGGCTTCGGCGTTCTCATCGACGCCGTAGGGACGTTGATGAGCGGTATGATTAGCTAGCGGCATCATCATGATAGCTTCGTGATCGCAGCCCATGGCTGCATGGCCCTCTTCCGGCTGCGCGTTGCCATGGTCGTATTTGGGCAGTTTTGCCTTTTCCCACTGACTTCTGCCATAGCTTGGAAGCTCGCCATCTCCACCATCATCGGCTCGGTGCGTCCTGCGTGCCCAACGATGAGGCAGTCTTTGAGGATTGTTGCGGTTCGCCTGCACTTGACTAGGAGATAAGGCAGGACGAGGCGCAAGGCCAGGGACGACAGCAGCCATGTAACCCCAACCGGCAGTCGACCCTCCCGAGCCAGGCTCGGCGCCATTGAGGAGCAGACTGGTCCGACCATGTCCTTGCAGACTGCCAGCATCTTCCCTCGCCCGTTCCCTACGTCTTCTCAAGCACATGAACACTATCAAGACGAGGAGCGTAAGCAGAATGCCACCCAAGATGCCTGCGATCAGAGGCAATTCCAGACCTATGCCCTTGCGATTCGTGTCCTCATCTTTGCGCTTCTTCTGCAGACACTCGGTCTGTGCTGGACCATTGTCCGGCAGACGGACGAGAGCGTGGGTGAGCGCCGCACCGATGGTCGCATTGTCAGCGCCATAGGCGAGCACGGACAAGACGAGCGGTGTGCCAGCTTGGACGTCCACTGCAGTCCAATTCCAAATGGTCGCAGTAGGGGATATCGGCTCCTCTATAAATATCCTGTCCAAGCGCGCTGCGCAAATGGCGGAGAGCGAGCGTCAGCAGCATATTGCGCCCGCATCGCAAAGCAAGTCAGCTGATGACGACTTGGAAACTGATTGGCAAGCCTGCTATGTCCGAACAAGTGGTGATGCTATTGCCGCGCCGCACATTCTCGCGTCACTCACGTCCTTTTCTGACTGTGATGTCTATGCCGAGCACGTTGGCCAGTCCATCAGTAGCTATGCCAATAGAGGCAGGCTCGCACTGCACAAACGCAGCAGGCCATGTGATGGTGAAACCGTTTGCAGCTGAGATCGCGCAGAACGCCAGCAGAAGCGGCCGAAAGAGCCTGAGGTGTCGCTGCTTCGCCTCGGGTCTGTTTAGCTTTCTCCGGCCGCTTGTGAGCTCTTTAGACCGCAAACAGAAGGCATCACCAGTGCATGCATTGCTGCTGTTCGTTAGATGCTGAGGTGCGTGTGGCGAAACCTCGTCGAGAGCGCTGGGCCGATAGGATGAGTAGAGCGCCCTGTGGAAGCTGCAATGTCTGGAACACGTCGCTAGCTCATGTTCCTCGGCTCTTCTCCTCCTCCGCCGCCTCTTGCAAGGGCTGGTAAAGGTCATTCTTGAAAAGTCCGCCTTGCTCGCGCGTGATGGATTGCGCTTGTATCCCCGATGATCGATCGCCTTGCCCTTCCCGATCGCGGACAAGACTTCCAGCAAATGGTGTGCTGATGCCTCGAGAGTAATGTGAAGAAGGGAAGATGAATTGGGCGTGCTGTGACCTTGTCCTTCTGGAAAGCTTGTTAATTGAGGTAAGCGACTGTTGCTTTTCCGTGCAAGAAGCTGACTCGCAAAGTATGATCACAGGAGATGAAAGTGAGATCACAGAGCCGTTTCGAGGGGATGCTCTCCCTCGCGAGAGCCGCGTCGTCCACTCGTGACTGCGATTGTGTGATGCGTGAGTGATCAGTCCAGAGCCGAGCGTGCCTGACCACCTTTTATCGTGCCACGGTTGCACACACCATGGGCGGGGTTGGAAGTGGTGAGCCAGTATTCGGCGTTGCTGGAACGAGGTACCGGTTTTGAGGGGAGGGGGGCAATTCTCGACTGCTCGACGCGGGCGGTGGCTGTCAGCGCACCCTGAGAGTGAATAAATAATTGATGCCGTACGGGCGTTCCGCCGTCTGCGAGTGCGGCGAGGGGGCCACGAATCCTGCTATCCAGGAGGCGCGCGAGATGAGATGTTGCTCCGAGGCCCAGGACTCGCGTGCTCGCGAAGACAGCACACCAGACCAGACCAAACCCGGCCAGGCCGCCTTGTAGATTCGTCAAAGATGTGTATCGAAGTGCGTCGAGGTGGATGAGAAGGGCGTGTGATAAAGAGGTAGCATAAGTACCAGGCACGAGGAGAGGTGAGTGGTGGGCCAAGCGGCGAGTGGGAGCCGTCGGCGCGACGAGGTCTTCCGAGTAGTGCGTATCGCTGTGACTGCGCGAGGGCTTGCCCGTCGCGCTGGCTCGCTCGTCTTGTGAAGGCCGACGTCGGGGTGATGCTGGCGTGCGCTGCTCACGTCCGAGTGCGGAGTGAAGCGGCGGAATTCAGAGAAGGAACCAAAGTCCGCAAAAGTTGAAGTGCAGTCGCACAGTCGAAGGAATGAGACGGACGTTAGCTGTAAATAGAAGGACAGTCTGCCACAGATGCGTGGTATGGAGGGCGATGCTGCTGCTGCTGTTGCCGTTGCCTACGGTGATTGGGAACTGGGTACGACACGAGTGACATTTGAGGTGGTGCGGGCAAAGGATACGGTACAGCGAGGATCATGAAAGCGCACAGGTCGATGGAACGCCGAAGTCGGCAGCAGGGAGAATGGGTGGAAATACTTGAGCCAGCTGGGAGGGAGCCAGATGCATGGTGAGTGGTGACCGGTGAGTGAGTGTGGACTTTGTTTGGTGACGATCGAGCGATTTCGCAGCAGACGCAGCAGCAGCAGTGTGAGTCACAGGTAAGGGTGCATGCTGCAGCACACCGCGCGTCAAGTTTGCCCTACGACACGACGGACGGCACAACGCACGGCTCGCGATGGTTCAGGTGCACAGCATACATGTACACATCCATCGCATCCACACGCGGCAGATCCGAAGGGGTCCGGTCTCAGTCATAGTATGCTGGCACACAGGTCAGACACTTGTCTGCATCAGCCGGCGCAAGAGCCTAAATAGAAGAGTCGTGAGTCGAGAGTCGTGAGTCGAGAGTCGCGACGGAGTACGCGCGGCTGTATGCGGTGAGCAACCGCCAATGCAATGCCAAGATCTCATGGCTGCATGCTTCATCCTACAAAGCTCCGAAGTGCCCTGCTGCTGCAAAGGCGCGCCTCTCCTCGCCTCTTCTCTGATGCTGCATCATGGCAGCTGCTGCTGATGCCACCATGCAAGTCCGTACTGCAGTCACGAGCACTGTACTTGGCCGGCCGTGAGTCCAGCTAGTCAAGAGTGCGGAGTTTGTTGTGTTTTGAGTTGCCTCACGCAACGTGCCTCGGCAGTCAGCAGCCTAGCTAGGCAGGCGACGAGATTCACAAGTCGCGCGCGCTGCCCGTTCAAAACAAAGCCTCAGACCGCTCGGCGAACCATGTCTGCGCGCCGTTGAGGTGGGCCAGGCCAGGGCCAGGGCCAGGCTGCCAAGCCCTCACCCTGCTCTGCTGCTTTCGCTTGGGCCTGCACTCGTGACTGCCTTCATGTGCTCGCACCTCGGGCGAAGAGGTTCATCTTGGATACACACGTGCCCTACAGTCAAAGACTAGCTCCATTCCTGGTTCATATGCAACGATTGCACATCAAGTGTCGAGCTGAATACTCGTCCACTACACGTGAATGAATGATGATGATGATGGTGGTAAAGCTTGATGATTGCGCGCCTCCTTTGCGGTCTCCCGCACACATACCAGCTGGTCCCGACCGGCCTTTTCATTTCTGCAAGCTCTGCAGGAACTCAACGGTCCAAGCCGAAATGCCGTCTGCTAGCGGTACTGTACAGTCAAGTACTAGCAACCCCCTGCTGGACACGCTGGCGGCGATCTGAGTCACGAGGGAAAAAGCCACACGACCGTGCGCATTTGCGACCTTATGCGGGTGTGGGATGTACCATGCAAAGTGCGAGTGCCCCCCGGCCGGACATGTGCGTTGAGCGGCGTGCTGCGCAAGATGCAGACCTTGTCATTTCTGGGTGCGCCGAATGCCCAAGCGAATTCCTTGGATCGTGGAATCCCGTCAGCAGAAGCCGTGGTTGTTCTTTCAGAGGTGAAGACGACCAAAGTCGAGGGGGGAGGGGGAGGGGCGGGCGTGTGGGGAAGGGGAATGAGGAAGGAGCGCCATGTCTGACTGAACATGGCCCAGACTGTTCGGATACAAGCCGCTTTTCGTCCTGTCCACCTTACGATGGCGCAATACACGTATCCGAATCAGCAGACGGGAGCGAACAATCTTTTCTCGATCAGACACCCTCAACGTCGGAGAAGACAGAGCAGTGCGGTAGCTTGTCGTGAGCGTGCGCACCAATGGGTCGACTTGCAGTCGACCCAAACGACACGACTGGACGTTGAAAGCTCGTGTCGCTGCTAGTGCGAGCAGGCCGAACCGGCGGAGCTGCAAAGCGTGCCGAGGAGCCGGGACAATCTAGGCCAAGGTTTGACTTTCTCGTAGGAAACCCTAAGCAAGTAGCACGATCGCGCACGAAACTGGTACAGTATGCAAAAGCAGAAGTAAT